CTGTGTCCGGGTTTCATGGCACCAGGAACCCGGACACAAGATGTCAGGCAGACAAGGGCAACCAAAATTAAGATAGGGGCTACTGGTCCCCCACTGAAAATAGTCTCAACTGTGTTATTTACATATGAATGGGTGGTGCCCATTACATATGAATAAGCCGCGACTCATTCTCCCAAAAGAATATGTCAGTGTGACGATATAGTGTTCGGGTTTCGCTTGAAGAAAAGGTGGCAACCCTAGCGGTGCGGGGAGCTGGAAAGCATCAATATCTTCTTTGCAGCAGACACATTATAAAAGCTGAACTTCAAGCAGATATAGACGACATAAAGCAATGCAGCTCTGTAAGCATTAATACATCATGAAAAGTATTTGTTAAATAAAAGCATTGTAAGCATATGAACTTGACCTTGTATGAGTCTCTTGCAGTCCCTGTACAGCAGAGCTGGAGTGTGAAAGGAAGCAGCAGTGCAAGGAGCCAATCAGTTTATGTGCAGACAAGAAACATGCTGATAGGAGAGAGCAGAGTGACGGAGAGATGAGCTCATTACTATGGTGCTTCTCCTTTCACTGGCCAATCACAGGCTGGGGGCGTGTCTAGGATGGAAGTGGCTCAGAGGAAGTGAGTTAATCGATGCTGGACATCAGACTGAGGACATCTAGTGGCAGACAAAAAGTACTGCAAAGTATTTCTGGATTGAAGCTGAACATTGCAGCAAAAGCTGGTTTTGTCATTTTTATCTTTCAGTGGTTCATTTGTATCTTGTGAGTTATAAATTTAACTTTTATATAGCAACACTATCTCTGTAAACCTCTCAGTGATCAGGTTCTATCTGAAGTCTCCGAGCAACAGGAGATAAGACTCAGGCAGGTAACCCGGGCCGCATAGCTCACCTGTCGTTGACACCTTACACTTTAAGTAACCCAAGCAACTGTGACCAAGCTTGTAGCTCACCTGGGACAGACCATCTTCTCAAGGGGAGGGGGGGGGTATTCTTCAATCACACAAAAGAAGAGACATTGACTCCTTCCACCTTTACTGATAAAACTGTTAGAAGTCATGATCCGAGTCTCTGGATTTTGTTTATTACAAGCAGAACATTTTTAGATATTCAATCAGTCTCTGAAAATGATTTAAATAAATGATCTCCCCCTCCTGAGGCTTTGAATGGTTTCTCCTCCCGTCAGTAATAGAAGCTGCTCACTTGAGCTGGATTTTTGCAGTGACCTCTGAAATCTGCAAATATAAATAAAGGTAAGTCAGGGTCTCCTCGCTCTTCTACATCCTCTTCTGGTTTGGTGGGAGGATCATGGGTGATAGAAGAGGATAAACGGCAGATGGGTGTTTGATATAATTAAAGGGCACCTAATATGTATTTGTTAATCAATGGCGAGTTGACGTGTATGCTAACAAGCCCCCTATGTTATAGCAAATATAACAATTATATAATATGATGTGACCGCAAATAAATTATGACAAATTTAATGTGACAGCAAATCTAATGTGAGAGACCCCTAATGTCACCGAGGGACCCCACAGAAGCTGATGAAGCAGAGATCTGCTTCACCAGCTTCTTCTGGCTCTAGGAGCCGGAGAATGTGCCCAGTGACACCGGAAGTGATGTAATGCACATCACTTCCGGGTCCAGTGATCTATCAGGGGAGACCCACCACACCAGTCCCGTGCTCACATGGGGGACAGCGGAGCCCGGGATGCCGACGGAGGCACCGGCGGAGGTGAGGGGGACACGGCGCCGCACCTTACAAATGACCCGGCGCCTGTGCAGACACCGGATCACTTCTACCGTGTTTCCCCGAAAGTAAGACATCCCCCGAAAATAAGACCTAGCGCTATCTTCGGGGATGTCTGTAATATAAGACCTACCCCGAAAATAAGACCTAGTTCGGGGTAGGTCTTATATTACAGACATCCCAGAAGATAGCGCTAGATCTTACTTCCGGGGTAGCTGTGAAGACCGGCCGCAGCTCCCTCACCGCCCCCTCGCCCGTCCACCTACCCGCACGCTGTTGCTCTCTGGATGACGACATCAGAGCGGAGAGGCAGCTCCCTCCCGCCCCCTACCCGACACGCCCCCCCTCCAGCAGCACGCATGCCCGCCCCCTCGTCTCCTTAGTTCCGAGCGGAGAGGCAGCTCTCTCCCGCCCCCCTGCCAGACACGCCCCCCCGGCCGCACGCATGCCCGCCCACCTGTTTGTGGCTCCCTGGATGGCAGAGCACAGCTGCAGCCAGGTAAGACATCCCCCGAAAATAATACCTAGTGTCTTATTTCGTGCAAAAAAAATAAATAAGACACTGTCTTATTTTCGGGGAAACACGGTATTTAAACAGCAATCGCTGCCTGTTTAAAATGGTACCAAGAACATGGCTGCAGCAGCTGTGTTCTTGGCATAAGCACTTCCAGGAGGATGTACATTTATATGAACCTGCTGGAAGTGGTTAAAGCATTGCAACCGCTATCAGTAGATTGCGACTACAATACTGTGGCTCCTGCAGACTCTTCATCCCGTCCCTGTCCGTACCTCTGAACGGACATTCGGTAACATGGACGGGAGGAATTGTCAATGGCTAAAAGCGGGGTGATGTCCTTGCATGAATGGATGTTGGATGCAGGGGAGCCTGGGTGACTCC